TCCAGGCAGAGTTTCCAAATGTTATTTGGCACAGTTGCCGAGTACTACACAACTTGTAACTTACAGGCTCTTTGTGATTCAGTAGAAGGAAATTGTGTAAGGAATACTGGTAATGATGATGGCAGCTTACAATGTGGCTGACATTTGAAGGACATTATACTATAAGCAGGTACTGATATCAGCATCCTAGTTTACAGGTGAGGAAACTGAAGCAGTGGACAGAAGGAAAATGCCCAAGATCCCTCAGCCAGGGGATGGCAGAGCTGAGGCTTAATTCTACACAGAATTGTACTCTTGGCTCCCTAACTGTTTTACTTGAAAGTGATTCTGGATTAAAAAAACAACAGAACAGGGCTGGGGATTTAGCTCAGCGGTGCCACCAACTGTCCTGCAAGTGCAAGGACGCGAGTTTGATCCCCAGTACCAAAAAAACCACAACAGACCATTTTCTTGTCCTTTAAAAAAGTTTAAAAGTTTATTTGTGCTGCACTTTAAACTATCATTTTGGTTACTCAGTTTATTTATATACTCATAATTGTTTACTTCATACAAGTATTTTAAATTAATTTTCTAGGTAGTTATTTTCTGCCTTTAATTCAAATGAAGAGTAAGAAAAATGGTGAAGTACTATAAGTTAGGAGACCTGAGTTCTAGTCTGGGCTTCCTCATGAAGTCACTGTGTGGACTAGGCCTAGGGCTCAGTGTCTTCCTGTCTATTACATGTTCCTTTCTTTAACTGAACCAGTGTAGGGTATGCAAAGTGTCATCTGTGAACTTAAGAAACATTGACTGTTGAGTTACAGATGGCTGGGGCAGGTTGCCAAGGGGCTAGTGTCTCCATCCTGGCTTTAATGGTTGCGTGCTCCAGCTCCCCCTGCACATCTTGGCTATTCACCAATGTAAGATGTCACAGAGACGTGCCTGAGCTGGCCAGGACCCAGTATGATACTTAGAAAGAAAAAATAAAAGCTCAGTGATGATCAAGTTCTCTTAAGTAACATTAAACAAAAGGATATTATATTTCTTCTAATTTTCTCTAAAAGCACCTCTCATGTATGTAAAGAGAACGACAAGATGAATGTGTCACTCTGTCATGTTCCTGATGTGATGTGTGTTGGTTGGCAGTTCATCGCAAAATAACCCATTATATAGGACTCATGGGTTTCAGTGCCAAGCCTTATGCTCAGGCAGCAAGATGGTTGAGAATGCAAGGTCTATATAAATTAGCATCCTGAAACCGTATCATCATCCCTAGTTTACAGGTGAGGAAATGGAGGCAGTAGATACAAATATGCTTAATAACAGAAATGCTAAACACTTCTTAAACAGAGTTGAAAACTGATTTACTTTTTCTTCTAAGAATTTCCTCTCCTCCTCTTTGTAATGCAACCATGACTTCAATTTTTAAGATATTCAAGAAAAAAAGCAAACAGTAGAAGGCCCTATTCATAATATGCTATGTCTACAAGAACTTCATTGTTTAGGGAAAATAAGATGCAATTATTGCAAAACATTACTAGTTTTAGGAAGTATAATAATTTTCTTCTCTTCACTGTGCCATGCAAATTCATGGAGATCAAAACTGATTAATAATTTTGTAACTTTCCACTCAAAACAGTGTGGTCTGTTTCCCCAAATTACTTATTATTTGCATATTCAAAATTATTTATGGAGAGCCTTTCATATGTAAGGAATTAAAGGGACAAATTCTCAATCTCTGTTATAAGGTTAAAAAAATTTTTGGAAGTCTATGAGCAGCACTTCCATTTTTAAAGCATCAAGAATTAGTCACCTTAGCAACAACTAAAGTTTCATTAAATGCTAAACACTTTTTAAATAGGGTTGAAAATTGATTTACTTAGTCCTCTAAGAATTTCAACTTCTGCTGCTACTCCTATCCTCTTCTCTGAAATGCAACTATGTTTTCAAATACCATTTTTTAAAAGGAGGCTTTATGGCTTTGGAGGAATAAGCTGATTTCACAGCCAGTTTTGCCACTGCTGTGGAAAATAGAATGCATATGCAAGCCAGCTGAAGTCATAGGACTGCAGGGATTAGGGCTGCAGGGGCCTCCACCACTGCTGTCAAATTGCAATTGGAAACAGCTTTTGCAAAGGACAGCATGAAAAATCAGGGATTCTTGTCTACAGTTCACCAGCCTCCTGACTTTCTAATCAGGCCTGGCATGACACATTGGAGATCAGAAATGTGAAAATCACAGTGAACCTAAACAAGGGTATCTTCTGGCTTCCAAGCTTTGCCCTCCCCAGGTCCCTTCCAGGCCTGTAATTACCATCACTCACCAGTTAATGAGAGCATAGTTTCTATGTGGGCAAGGGAGGTCCAAACAGCCTTGGCCAATTGAATTACAGGTTCAGATCAGAGCCTTCCCTTTTACGCCAATTACTGCATGTGAAAACTGTCTAATGGCTCAAATCTTAACCTCCTCTTGGTTACTTTGACTTTACAGTCACTTAGAGATAAGGTAACTTTTTTAGAGATCATAGAAAAACTATTTTGAATTTTCATGAACTGGAATCATTCAATGAAAGTTCTTTTCCCTGGCAATCCAACTTTAAGGAAGAGAACTCTCAAGGAGATAATCTCATATCAGTAATTCAAAAAACATTTAGATACAGCTCCATTTCCTATACCTCTGTCTAAACCTGGAAGCTAAAAAATGGCAAAACACCCAGAAGTCAATTATTACAATGTCTATTTCATTTGTCAATTCTTCAGGGATCTTTGAGACACAAGTAATGAAGTAGAAAAGTCCATTAATGAGAGATTTGATTTAAAAAATAGACTTACCCAACTAATTATCAGCCTATTCATTACATATAAGTTCCTCAGCCTGATAATGACATAATCTGTGTTGTACACGGATGGTAATACTCCAGAGCAGACCGGGTGCAGCTTTCAATTTGTAAGATGCTCACCTGAAACTTTCTTTGATGATTTCCAACAAACAAGAATGTGATTTGATTTTTTTCCTTGCTTTAAAGGTGCAACTCAAACTCCATTACTCAGTGGAACTTCCCTTGGCCCCTTGAGTCAATACATTTCTCTTTTATCTCCTCTTCCACAGCAAGTCCTTTGGACCTCTGTTTAGCATTGGACATTCTGTACATTATAGTGAGTTGCTGTAAGGTGAATATTTTCCACTAAATAATGGGCTATTTCAATAAAATCAGTGATTGTGTCTTACTCATTTCTATGGTTCTTCCCTTGTTCTGCTCTGGAATTAAAGTCCAGAACCAAGTTTAAAACAAAACAAACACAAAGCCTTGTATTGTCTAAAAGGTATCAATTTATTTTTATAGCCATGGGCCACATAACTACCTTTCAGTCAATGATGCACCATATATATGATGGAGGTTCCATAAAATTGTAATGGAGCTTAAAAATTTCTATCACCTACAAAGGTTGCAGTTATCCTAATTTTGTAGAACAATACATTAGTGTGCAATTGTGATGATGCTGGTGTAAACAAACTTACTGCATTACTAGTTGTACAAAAGTACAGCACAGACAATTCAGGGCAGCATGTAACACTTGATAATAAGTGACTAAGCTACTGGTTTGTGTATTTATCATAGTATACCTCTTATTTTAGGATGTATTTACAGGCATGCGCCACCATGCTCAGCAAGGGTGTATTCTTTCTATGCATTAAAAAGTGCATTATGCTGGGGATTTAGCTAAGTGGTGCTGCCGCCTGCCTCCCAAATGCAACGTCCTGAGTTCGATCCACAATACCAAAAAAAAAAAAAGTGTATTGTACAAGAGTATGCTGTGTTCCCAAGCAGCAGCATCATACATTCCATGCATCATACATCCTATGTTTAATGGATCACTTTTTTGGGAAGGGTGGGTACCGAAGATCGAGCTCAGGACCTTGTGCTTACGAGGCAGGTGCGGTGCCACTGAGCAAAATCCCCTGCATCATTTTCTCTTGTGCTTAATCTAACCTCATGGCCCTGGAAACAACAGTCTATACCATATATATATACACATATATATATGTATATATATGCACATATATATGTATATATATGTATATGTATATACATACACACATACATATTTGATAGATGCACATATATATGTGGGTATATACTAGCCTAGGAGTTTACCATATAGTAGCCAGTAATGGCGAATCTATGGCCTGCATGCCACAGTGGGCTGTTTGTTATCATTGAAAGCTCTAAAAGGTTTGCCATTACTGATCTTGGCTATGCCATCTAGGTTTGTGTGAGTATACTCTATAATGGTCACATAATGACCAAATCACCTAACAAGGCATCTTTCCAATGTGTCCTGTTGCTAAGTGATAATGCATGGCTGTATTCCGAGAAAGATGTTTTCAGAAATAAAGTATAGCCAAATGATGGAAAATATTTCACAGGGTAGAAACCATCTCAAGAATAGATCACTACTTGTGAACTGGATGCTCAGCAAAGGTAAAAATAAGCCTCTAAAATGATACTCAACTATCATCATACATCTAGTCCCAAACTAGAGAAGACTTTGACTCATTAGGGGATTCTTTAAACAGTAACTATCAGTTTGGGGATTAAAATTTTTACCCCCAAAAAAGCAAATTTGAATAAAGACAATTTCTCCTCCTCCATCTTCTTTTTGTTTTTCCAGTGCTGGGGACTGACCCAAGAGCATGCTAGGCAAGTGCTCTGCCACTGAACTACATATATCTTTAATCCCTAAAAGCAATTTTCTAAATGTACCTTAGAGACTTATTTATTAAAGGTCTACATTGTAGAGAAAATACTTACTAAGAATAATCAAACAATAGCTCAATGGTAGAGTGCTTGCCTGGAAAATAAGAGGCATGGGGTTTGCTCCCAGTAATATTAAAAATAAAAAAACCAAACCATACTTTAAACTACGAATTAACTTGAGTGGTCCATTGTTTGGGCCTGACCTTTAATCTGGCAATGAAGTTTACTTGCTAGGAACAATAATATTTGTATATCTCTTACCTTCCGTAATATATTTTTTTTAAGCATCTTCAGGATTAAGTAACCCCAGTAAACATGCAGGGCCTGTAGAAGCAGCAGCTGTAGGTTGAGGAAGATGTATGAGAAGAAAGGCTCGAGGTAGTGCAGAGGCATTATCAGCGTGCAATGTAAAATCCTGAAAAACCAGATGAAGGAATTTCATTACGGCCAAAGCATTTGTGAATGTTCAACAAGAAAACAATATTTTCTCTCCCAAAACATACAACACTTGTTTCATTTCTGTGATGTCCAGGAAATTCTCAAGAGAAACAATTGTGATATTACCTTTTATATCATTATTAGCAAGCCACAAAAAAGTACAATCTGTTTCCTGGGAAGAAAATGAAAGCAAATGACAATTTTATTGCCTACTCCTTACACTAGAGTGTTCTGTACCTCATTTTTCTCTTTTCGAATACAAACATATTCACTACCCTACTTAACTCCTGGGGAAGGGAAGGGATAAGGAACAAGTGAAGCAATTCATGTCAACATGGGTTATTACTGCCTTATGACACAGTCTCATATATTTGGCATCAAAATTGAATAGACTTCTACAAAAATAAAATTTACAAATAAAAGAAGTAGGGGTGTGTGTGTGTGTGTGTGTGTGTGTGTGTGTGTGTGTGTGTGTGTCTATTAGTGATACTGGGGATGGAACCCAGGGCTTCTCGT